TCCCCTTCCCTTCACAATTGTGTGGGCCATATCCTTTCCCCTTTGCAATTACATAGCATACCAGTGGCAACTACAGCAGTTTCTTGCATAGAAAGTTAATACCAAGATAGTATTTAATGTGTTTTTAGCTGTCTTAATGCATTTCAGCAGCTGGAAACAGGGAGACCCAGCACCATTTGACCCAGGCAACTCTCCAGAGGCTTGCAGACCACCAGTGGACATTGAACCCAGTTTGAAAGCCAGTGAGCAATAGTTAAATCTCAACTGAGTTTTTAAAAAACTCCTAAACAAAGCATCCTCTCACTTTGTCTGTTTTGGGTTGGAGAGGTTTTTTTCATTCATATCAAACTTTCTAATTCATTAGAATGTGAGTTTTGACTGGGGATCAGAGGATAGTTTTCACACTTATTGGCTATGAGCTTTGCAGAATCCTGTTGAATTGTGCAAAGGAATTAGAATAGTAACTGGAGTAAAGGGGGGGGATAACTATTAATATTCTGTACATTGAGAAATTTGGCATATATAATTTTTTTCCACAATCCAATGAAGACATTTTACTTTAAAGGCCCTTTCATCTTCCTCTGGCTTCTCCCTTTATTTAGTGTTCATTTAACCCTAATTAATTGTGATGTCTTCTTGTGAAGACATGGGTTTTAAAAAACCAGAAAGGGGAAGAAAATATGTGAAGATATAATTGTGTAATGCCTTTGTGGCTGGAAAAAAATAAGGGAAATGAGCAAAGTCTGCAGTTCACATTTACAGAGCCAACTGTTTCCTGAAAAGGAAGGCCCCAGTTTCACAAAGGGACCTACATGGTGCACAAGGGTCTTTCTGCATCAATCCAGTGGCAGGATCAGAGTCGAAGCGAGCAAATGTTTATGGAAATTGTAAGTGTCCTTATTTATTTTCAACAAATGAAGACCAGCTAAATATGTGAGTTTCACACAAGATTTCCCTCTCAAGCACTTTGATTGGGGAAAAGAGGCCATCTTAGAAGCTATCTTCATGGGCTGAAATTAATCAACAACAAAAAACTTACCGGTACTTTGATTAGGCTTGAAAATCCCTGTTCAAAATATTTTGTGAAAGGTTTTGGCGTAAACGTGGGCCATAAACTCTCTTATTACTGATTCCCCTCTCTCTCACTTTTTTTTTCCCCCTGGTACACGTAATGTCTCTTTCTTTATATAAAAGCAGCTACAAAAACAACTGAGTTTCAGGAACACTGGCAAAAAAATTCAGTAATGAAGAACCTTCTACGTTTTGTATGTGGAGACAAATTCTGATATCCTTACTCAAGTGTTGAAGTAGTACCTTTCTTTGCAAGTAGACCCTTCTCCCTTTAATGTGACTGTGCTGTAATAAGTGCCCCTCAGTGTAGGAAAGTAATCTGAATCTGGCCCTTAATCTCCAAAGATTGTGATGGAAAATGATGCTGTAGATTACTTAGTAGGAACTGAAAATTTCAGAATCTGCCTTCACACATCCACCTTTCCTCTTCCCCGTTTCAGTAGTGGTGGTGTGGACCATACCTCTTTGCAGTTCTTCATAAAAAATATGAATGTGCAACAACTCATGTCCTGCTCCTCAGTTAATTGTTTTCAAGATTTGTGCCACATGGCTCACAAATTCAAGGTTAGGGTTCTTCAGGAGTAATATATTCAGAGAACTGCAGTTACTGACAAATAACCTAGTTTTATTTGTATAGTTACCAGAGAATAAGACACCTTTTTCTTCTGGGAACAGTTGTAATTAATTGCCCAGTAACTCCTGTTGTTGCTAACTGAATTATATCCTAATAACTGAGCATGAGTTCATGTGACTACTGTACATGCAATAACCTGTAATTTACTTTTCTAAGAAATAATTTATTATATTAAATATTTGTTTGAAATTTTTAAGTCCTAACATTTTTCTGGAGGTGGTAATGAAGCTGACTGCTGTTGAGCTTCTATTTTTTTATATATAAAATGTATAAAATTTTAAAAGCTACATTTTAACCCATTACAGAAGAGCTCTGGAAACAAAACTGATACACTGCAGCATTTTGGGGGAGGAGTAGAGTTGTATTAAGAATTTCTAAGTACATCAACTTAGTTGAAAATTAATCTTTAATTATAAAATGAATGGAATGCTCAGCATCAAATGTAGCGTTAAGGTGGTTGGTCCAGTGTCTCACAAATATAGACCACAATTGTAAACAAAAAATAACACCCCAATGGCAGAACGGAGAACATTCCTTTGGTCATCTTTCCAGTGTGGAGCGAGGAACGGGGAGGGAAGTGCAGAGGATGGAACATCTGAAAGTGGATGAGCCGCAGCAATACATAAACTTGCAGGCTTCCATTCTATTTAAAACCATGACTCAGAACATGGTGTGCAAAGCCTATCCTGCCTGTTCTGAGGAATCTCCACTTGGGGAAGTGGGTCTTCGAGATCCTTCCCCCTGCAGAGAGGGAATTGGGCCATCAGTGGCTGCCTCAAAGGTCTTTTTGGATCACAGGAGAGGAAAGGGACATTCAGTGCCCTAGTGTATCATCAACATCCTATATCTGTATGAAGAAGACAGTGGAAAGGGATCACCATGCAGTTGTTTTATCACAGTTGTCAGGATAACCCCAGCTAACCATCTCTGCCTATTTATTTTAAATGGGGAAGAAAAAAAAAAACACAGAACCCAGCAAAGTTTTTCAATTTTTCTCCCACACTCCGTTATAAGTACTTTCATTCCAGTTGAGCGTTACATTTATATTTGGTATCTCCCTGTTTTTGCCGGTCCTTACTGGACCAAATAAAGAAACCTTGTGGAAAACCTTTTTTTTTTTAGTATTTAGACCCTGATTCAGGAAAGCTTCCTCAGTTCAGGATAGAATGTAAGTGTGTGTTTAAAGGCCCATTGATGTCAATGGGATTTATGCACCTTCTTAAAGTTAAGTATGTGCTCAGGTGCTGTCCTGAATCAGCACCATCATCATTCCCATGCCTCATTACAAGTTACATAACCTGGCTAACAAATGGCATCTTCACTGAGCACTTCTAACTTGGGAGCCAAATACTGCCTCTGAAGTCATGCAGAATATGCATGGCTCCAAAGTCCAAGGGACTTGTATGTGTTTCTCCTAAGAGCAGATTTGGATCCATGCAGTGCTCAAACACACTGATATATAAATCACAGTTTCACTAAAATGTACAGTACATATTCCTCAGTGTTTCAATAAGATTGGAAAGTTTGTTCCTTTTTGGTGGTTTCTGCAATAAATTAGAACAATAAATATCTTTCATTTACATTGCCATTACTGTGTACAGCCTCAGCAATAGGTCTGGCATAAACAGCCATTATATTTCTACCAGTGGTTGTATTTTGCTGTATTGAGCCATTGATGTGTTTTCTGGCACACAGTGTATTGTGTATTTAATGAAGAAAGAAGCAGAGATAATTGCCCCCCTAAAGGGACCTCCATGCCAAATAGAAGATGATTCTTTTAAAATAAACCTTTGTGATTTTGGCCCCTTGTTCATGTGGAATGAACGTGATTATAATAACTTTCTAAAAATGTTCTCATTCTTGCAGTGTGATCCTACATCTATCTCTGACTCTTTCAACAATGTGCTATATTGAAAGATTAAAGTACTGTGTTGCTACTGTAATTATTCTGCCTGTTTTAAGAGTACTACAACAAGATATTTGCTGGGACTATCACCATTTAAGGATTTGCAGTTGAAAGTTGCATAAATGTATATTGTATACAAAGTTTTAATACAATTTTCTATGCAAATAGCTTTTTTCCAGAGAACCAATATATTGTAAGAATTCATCATATATTTAAAGGGAATAGGGGTTGTTTTGTTTGTAGCAGCATTTGTTTGAGTAGAATGGCATTATGTGCAGAGAGGTAGGGGTTAGATTTCTTTCAATTGTAGCTAATGATAAGCAAAGTGGGGACTGGACTGCAGGCTCTATGAACCCAGAAGTGGTACAGTCTCTGAATATATTCCAAGAACTCATACTTAACTTGATTAGTCTTTTTGGAGTAAAGTCTAATTTTGTGGAGATTTAAATAGGGTGTAGAAGTGGTATTGTATGTTCTTGTTACATATTGTAATTTCATTATTATTCTTATTTATTATTTTATTTATGTAACTTGTAAAAATTGTTAGGTACTGTGCCTGGTATATTCCAAACAGTATAAACATTTATATCTAAAGTTATTTTCAGCCAATGGTACACTGTATTTGTTGAATTTTACTATATAATTTTCATTTTGCCAGTCCTAATGGTAAAAGTAATGCTGACCTGACTGCTCATTGGTTTTCCCTAAAATGCAAGAGAATTCTTTACCCTATTGTAGCTTGAGGTCACATAAGTATCAGTCTAATAACACCTGCTAATCCTGTCGCACTTTGTAACTTCAAAGCATTATACAAAATTAACTAATCCTCTGAACTCCCCTTTGAGGGAGGGAGGGAGGTACCCTCATTTTACAGAAGAGGAAACAGAGACCGCATGTAACTTGCCCAAGGCCGCACATTGAATCAGTGGTAGAGTTGGGATTAGAACCAAGGAATTCTAACTCTCATCTCATGCTTTGTGTGCTAGATTACACTGTCTCAGTCATTAATTAATATTAATATGACAGTGCTCCAACTGATTCGTTTTGTATGTGCAATTGTGGTGTACTATTATATTCCAACTGTTTATTCCCCATTTAATTTTCTTCCAAAAACTAACTGTTTTTAAAATAGAGTACGAAATCAATGTAAATTTACTTCAGAAATATCATTTAAACATTGGTGGACGCTGGTGTTTTTCTCTTTGCAAAATATTTTGTGAAGTAAATGACCAGTCAGCCAAGCTAGCAGACGATTGCCATTTTGGTAGAATTGAGCAAGGTGCAAATGTTTTGTAAGAGAATAGAAAACAAAGTTGAATGTACTGCATGCATTTCAACTACACTGTATTTTTTTCTGACATGTTTTCCCTTTTTTAATTAATGTGGCAGAATTCCTTGACGAGAAGTGCTCCACTTGCCAATGATTCTCAAGCACGAAGTGGTGCCCGTTTTCACACCTCATATGACAAAAGATATATCATCAAAACTATAACAAGTGAAGATGTAGCAGAAATGCACAACATTCTGAAGAAATATCATCAGGTAATATTTTAGTTACTATCAAGAGATGGGAAGTATTAAAAAAATTAATTTGGAAAAATGTAAATGAAATTCTCTGTGATTAAGGAAGAGTTTTAGGTGTGTGATGTTTTGGCCATAGAGATGCTGCATTATTAATGTATTGTCTGCTAATTTCAGATTATTTTCTTTGGTATGTCAAAAGTTCTTGATAAGTGATTGTGAAAATAGAATCAGTTCAGATCATTTAGTTCATTTTCCTTTTGTGCGTCACACGGTCTCATTAACTAAATGCTGCTTATATATTTTAGCAATACTTGATTACAAGTGATGAATGTTGCATTTATATATAAAATGAAAATAAAGTGTGTGTGTGTTTTGTACGTATGGAGAATACCTGGTGCTGGGTAAAAAAGGTTTTATCAGTATGTATTTGAGGTAACCACGCTACTCGTGTGGCAAAGCCATGAGGGAATAATATAAGTCATCTCAGATGAGTGCTGATAAAAACCATTATACCATGCCAAGATGTATTCTGTATATACAACATACTTAGCAGGGAAAATACTTAACAAATCTTTCAGAGAGTTTAAAGAAAATTGATACTATTTTTCATATTCCCACACCTGTTAAATCAAACTCTCTACTGCATAAGCCTTTGTTGTGTGTGTGGCCGGGAGGGGTGGGGATTATAACTACCTCTTAAAAATCTTTAAAAGTTCCCTAAAAAGCATCTTCTTTCTCCTTCCTTCCAGCATTTCTTCACCCTCACTAACTCTTGGTGGTTTGGAGTGGTGTGAAGGGATTGGAGTGGTAGGGATGGGATCTGGCTTTGTGTGTAGACAGTGTGGGGGGTTAGGCTTAAGCTTGAGTCTGAGCCTTGGTTTACTGTGCAGTGTAGACATACCCTAAGTGGCTTCAGCCTGTTTGCTAAATGCTGTGTTGCCAGCTCTTGTGATGTTATCATGCATCTTGTGATATTGGTGTTTTTTCTTAAAGCCCTAGCTCCATGAGTAATTCTAACCCTAAGCCCTGACTCATAGCTCCTAGACAACCTGTTGCCCCAGGGTTTCCAGGGTCTATGGTTACAAGGCAGCCTGCCAGGCAGACTGTCCCAGAGTTGGGGCTCCTTTCCCTTTCACAGAGGATTCAGACATTTTTGGTTTTTGTTCTGAATCAGAACGAATCCACATTTCAAAATATCAAAATCCTCTGCAAAACAGAATTACCGTTCTCTGTCCAGCTCTACAGACAATCCAAAAAGAGTCAGAGAAAGGGCATTGCATAATAATTATATTACTTTACTTTAGATTTCTCTGTTTGAAAGGTAAATCCCCAATGAGCAGAGTTGCTGCTTAGGCAGCTGTGAGGCAGTTGGAGGAGGGCAGGGGAAAGCAGCTTTGTCGAAGCAGCACAGGGGTTGGGGTGCTGAAAGAAAGGATGGGGAGCCTGCCATTTTTGCTCTGTTCACACCGCTGTTCAAATGCTTCAAACTTCCATCAGGAGATTGCTCTCGTGGTTTTTTGGACTCTTCCTATGACTGCATTAGCATTTTAACTTTTGACCTGTGAGTAATGTTACCTCCTCAGGTCAGGCATCTCCAGCCTTAATATCTCCTGTTTCCCTCTTGCTCGTGGTGTTTTGCTTTCAATGATGTGGTTCATTCTCCTGTCACTCCCAAAAAACAATGGCTTGTAAATGTAAATATGCTTTTGTAACCCCTGCCTGCCTGGTGTGGCACTCTGTCCCCCTCCAATGGCACCTAGACCATCTAGAGATTAATGAGTCTGCTACAGCCTTAGCTCAGAGCTATGAGGCTTTTAGCTCATGCAGTAAAGGCTCATGCATTTAACTCTGGAGGTTCCAGGTTTGATCCGAACCATTGATGAGCAGGGTCTGTTGGTGTTACAAGTGGGGGTTTGTCCATGATATTAACTGGGAAGTCTCTGGAGCTCAGGACAGGGCCGCCCGGGGGGGGGCAAGTGGGGCAATTTGCCCCGGGCCCTGCAGGCGCCCCCATGAGAACATCGGAGGCGTCTCCCCGCCTTCGCCTTCCTCCATCCCCCGGCGCCTCAGCTCCCCGCGTCCAGGAGCAGCCCTGGACAGCGCTGCAGTGGCATGGCTCAGGCGGGGTCTGAGGTCCTCCTGCTCAGAGCCGTGTGGTGAGGGGGCGAGGCTGCAAGCTCCGGCGGGCTGAGCGGCAGGAGCTCCTGGATGCGGCTCGCTGAGGCTCTGGGAGAGGGGGTAAGCAGCATGGTAAGCCCCTCTGAGCCGGGCACCCCCCGAGCCCCAGCTCCGAGCCCAGCCCCTGTGAACCGGGCACGACCCCAACCCTCCACAGGGCTGACCCCTAGCTCTGAGCCCAGCCCCACTGAGCCGGGCACCCCCCGACCCCAGAGCCCTGACCCCCCAACTCCTAGCCCAGCCCCTCTGAGCTGGGCACCCCCCGACCCAGAGCCCAGCTCCCCACCCAGCCCTGGGCAACAGTAGCACCACCCCCAGGCAGCGACAGCCCAGTGGCACCAACCATCACCCAGCAACAGCCCATTATGTAATTGCAAATGTATATATACCATTAAAGCATTAAATGGGTTTTTAAATAATGTATTTTGTGTATTTTCAAATTATTAAAAATTAATTTTTGAATGTATTTCACTGGTTATTTTTTACATTTCCAAATACGTTACTATAGTATTGCAACTTTTTTTTATGGAAGGGGCCCCCAAAATTGCTTTGCCCCAGGCCCCCTGAATCCTCTGCGCAGCCCTGGCTCAGGACACGTTTCCTCAGCTAGGTGAAGTATGTAACCAGTGCTTACTTGGTGTGGTGTTGTGTCCCTCTCTAGTGGCACCTAGACCAGAGATTAATGAGTCAGCTACAACCTTAGCGAAGAGCCATATGGCTTTTAGCTCTTGCAGTAGAGGCTCATACAGTAAGCTTCAGAAGTCCCAGGTTCGATCCCGCCTCCTGACGACCCGGGTCTGTCAGTGTTACACTATGAGAATAGGCATGTGTTACGAATTGGAAATTCCTGAAATTGGAGTAGAAGAGCCTTATATAGTATCAGTGAAGTGGGACAGAGTGAGGAGAGTATTACATAGGAAAGGAAAGAGAGACCAGGGAGCAGGAATAGAAAGAGGCAGGATGAGGCAGCAGAGGAGATACAGAATCAGAGGCACGGACAGAAGAAGGCAAACAATGATGCTGAGCAACGGGATAAAGGTGTTGTGATCTCCCTTTCTTCCTTCATAATCTCCTTAAAACTTCTACAAAGTATATCAGTGACAATTCATCAAATATAGGTCACTTACAAAACCGAAAACCTTTTGTTGCTTCACAATTGACCCTTCAAACACTGGTTTATGGGCCTTCTTTTCAAACATTTATAGATGTGCATAACTGTATGCACAAATGCAAGAGTACTGTGTGTGTGCACTGCTGGATCTGACACACAATGCAGATCTCGAAAGTTACTGGATGTTAGGCCTGATATCCTGTATTTCAACTCACTTGCTATATTGATTGATGCTGCAAGAAAGACAGCATTTTTTTGCAGCATTTTCCTCTGTTTCTTTAATACCAAGCACATTGATGGTGCTTATTACGTAATACCAGTGATGGTGTGTGAGATTACGATAACCTCATTAATCCTTAGTCTTGCGTCTGATGAAGTGGGCATTCACCCACGAAAGCTTATGCTCCAATACTTCTGTTAGTCTTAAAGGTGCCACAGGACCCTCCGTTGCTTTTTACAGATTCAGACTAACATGGCTACCCCTCTGATACTCATTAATCCTGAAGCTCAAAATAAAAGCTGTGCGCAACTGTGGTGGTATGCAGGTAACTTTGTGTCAGGGAGGGAGCAAATGAAGAGAATGCAAAGCTGTCTTTTTTTTTTTCTTTCAACTTCTAGGAATGGGGGTAGAGAGGAATGCTTAAACTCCTTTCTCAACAGGAAGAAAAGAGAACAGTTTCTGCTTTGCAGCCTCTGAGAAAAACAGGGAAAGAGTGATGCTCCTTCCTTCCAGCAGCCAGATGGGTGTGGAGGAGAGGCTGAAGGTTAGAATGAAGCTCCCCCTCACTCTTCACAGCTGGGGCAGGGAAAGTGGAGGAAAGAGAACAAGGCTTTTGCTCAGTCCCACCAACCTTTGGTATGTGGGAGAGGAGGCTTCAGATTTATCACATCTGTAAGCCAAGGCCATATGAGCATTTGGGTCCTTTAGCAGATTCCAAGGTCAGCATTCTGAGAAGTACTAAGTACCCCATTTCCAAGCATTTGGGAGTGCTGCTCACTTGGGTACCCTCATCAAACCCCACTCAAAGATCTTCATTGCTGCTTTTAGCTAGTAGATTTATTCCTCTGACTGTTTTCCTATTTTGCTGGAAATATACACTGTCATTTTAGTAAAAGATGATACTGTGTAAGCTTCTTAGAGTTTGACAAATTAGCAGTTAAAATTATTCTCTAATTGTAACTTGTGTATTTTTTTTTTTAGTTTATAAAGCTTCCAATCTTTGTATCATAGCTTTGATCTCAAAGGCATTTGATCTGTAAATCAGTGCAGCAAACTGGAAGTGTTACCCAGTTTATTTGTCCAGGCAATTAATGGTAATCCTTATTATCTGTGAAGTTAATATACAAATTTTGAGGTGGTTGAACTAGTTAAAATTCAGATTATCTTTCAGAATAAACAATCGCTCCTTTCAAGAGTTTGACTGAAGGATGTGTCTAACATGAATGAAAAATCCTTGATGGTGTTTAGTTAATGCTTGTATGGCATTTTTAAAATGTCAGGGTCTAAGTTAATACCTACAGTAATAGTAATTAATAAGATGTCTGCACCAGGGGTACATAGGTGGACTTTATACCAATTAAAGAGAACCAAATATCGTAAGAATGGGGAGCATGTACTATACGTACTTGAGAATGATTGTAGCCTGGTTGTTCAGGTACTCGCTTGTAGGTGGTTGATGCTAGTTCAAGTCTGCTCCAATGAATTAGTTATTATTAATATGTATTATAT